TTATGAACCTGGTTGTTTGTTGTCAGAAGACCAACGCTCGCGCACATAGACTTCCAGGTATGCCCATACGTACTCAGAAGGAAGGGGAGAGGATGGGAGTATCACACCGCACAGGGAGAGAGAGACACAGCGGAAGACTTGACCATGCGATATGACAGAGAACACTGACAATGCACTTAGCTCCACAGAATCCTCTCAACCAGTAACAAAGGAAAGCCGAGTAGATCACATCCAAGAAACAATGAAGCAAAGATAGTCCCAACACAGTATCAACACTGTTATTAAACTCAAGAGTCTCGAAATGTTAGAATAACTCCAGAACCATGGTGCGCTGCTCAGGAATGAGCAGCCCTTCACTCCCCAACCTTGAACAACCGCTAGAACTACCCCTGACTCCCCAAAACATCAAGCGCCACCCAGATACTGCCTCCAGAGGGAAGCGCCAGCCTGAAACAGGCCAGGATGAAGAAGAAGACCAGCGCCACAGTGTCTGATGATGATGAAGTGCCGGACAACTTCCCAGGTGGAAGTTCGCAGCAGCGCCACCACTCCTGACAAAGATGATCTCTGAGGAAGACGAGCTGCAGCTATGGCTGCAGCGCCACACACCCTGACACCCCACTTCTGAGGAGGGTTCAACAGAGCACCAACTTCTCTCGCCTCCAGCAGACTTCGCGTAGGCCAAACCTCTGGACAGCCTCGCGTGCTGTCAGAGTACAGCGCAAGTCCCAGCTATGGCCGACACTCCCAGGTCTGGCTATGTCCGTCCTCCTCAACGCTGTAGCTGGTTACCACTCCCAGTTCACGCGTTGCACAGCCGCGACGTACACGGTACCAACTGCCAAAAGCCCTGAACCGATGTCCTCCTCCTATCTATAACCTACACTCGTCTAGACACGACCTAGACCGGACTGACTGGACCGACTGGTACCGTTTCAGTTTTCGGCCTCTCGGCCTCTACCTACCCTCCTATAGGCTATAGGACCGTCTATCAGCATAGGCCTTCAGGGTCTGTCTGTCCTAGGGGTAGCCCGGGCCTGCTATTCACAGTTAGGGTAGCTGTAGGTAATTTCAGTTAGTACGGGCCTGTGTTTTTCCCGAATTTACAGATATGTCCCTCAAGAATTTCCCTACAGGTAGGTCTTGCGGTTAGCCCTCAGCCAAACAAAATTACGAATCTATCCTACCTATGGTACAGCTTCGACAAGAGAGGCTACAGGCCACTGGAACCAGCAAGTCATTGCATTTGTGCCTACATTCTACATACCCCTGGCCACTAGACCGCTCTTGTCCGTGCCTCTGGTTTTGGGAATTATGGAATGGCGATGCTATGGTGCAAACTGTTACGGCCATCTGTGATCTCGGGCGTGGTTACCCTAATCTGCAACTGTTCCAGGTTATTGACCCTATGGGTACCTCGTGTACTTCCGAGCCTGCCTCTGCCCCCGTCCCATGCCTGTTTCTGTGTCTGTCTCCTTCCAGGTTNGCCCCCGTCCCATGCCTGTTTCTGTGTCTGTCTCCTTCCAGGTTATTGACCCTATGGGTACCTCGTGTACTTCCGAGCCTGCCTCTGCCCCCGTCTCTGTGCCTGCCTCTGCACCTGTCTCCATGCCTGTTTCTGTGTCTGTCTCCTTCCAGGTTATTGACCGTATGGGTACCTCGTGTACTTCCGAGCCTGCCTCTGGCCCCGTCTCTGTGCCTGCCTCTGCGCCGCTCTCCATGCCTGTTTCTGTGTCTGTCTCCTTCAAGGTTATTGACCCTATGGGTACCTCGTGTACTTCCGTGCCCGCCTCTGCGTCCGTCTCTGTGCCCGTCTCTGTGTCTGTCTCCGTGCCTACCTCCGTGTCTGTCACCATGCCTGCTTCAGTCTTTATTCCCCCACATGCTGCACTAACCCTTTGTGACCTCCTTCTTTGTGTGGCCACTGACGCAGTTACAATTGGCTGTGGAAAGCATCGACTTTGTCGACGTCACTACAACCATATTTTTTTTGGGCCCACTGTCTGCAGGGATGCCACCTGTATCCGGATTGTGGACATCCTCTGCATCCAGATGCAGTATGTCCCATCTGTGCCTGCGGGCGCTATAGTGAACATGCACTTAACTGTGATGGTGAACGCCCCACAATCGTCATGGCCTGCAGCAGGCATGCCCTCTGCCGTGCATGCTTCAGAGGTATGGTTGATGCTAGCCGTCCTGGCTCCTGCTGTGACGAGGCTGCTTGCCTGAATCGTCTTCGTCCTATAGATTGGCAGGAGGGCTGTTACCATCGCCCGCATCCTTGTAATGGTTGTCCTATCTGACGTGAGGGTCTTACTCAGACGTACCTTGCACCTTAACAAAAAGATGCAGGTGCGCTGAAAAGAGTGTACGAACGTGGGAGACCCTTCACTAAAACTGCAAGACAGTGAAAGAAGAATGCAGTAAAAGAAAGAAGAAGTTTGTGTCATTTTACTTTGTTTGTACCCTGCACCCTAACACCCTCGAAGAAAAAGTCAGAAGGGTGAAAATGAGAAGAAAAAGTTAAGAAGGAAGTGCAGGTGCGCTGAAAAGCGAACGTGGTAGACCCTTCACCAAAACTGCAAAACTGTGAAAGGAAAGAAGAAGTTGTGTCACTTTCCCTTCGCTTATCGGTTTTCTCTTTCTGCACCTCTCTTCCTTGTGTTTAACACCTCTCCATTTACTCTGCCTCTTTTCCACAGCGTGCAAGTGGGCTGTTATGGCGTATGGGGATGGGGGCAGCTCGCGCTCAACTTCATCAACGTGGCGAGCCTCGTACGTGAGAGGCGCAGAGGAGGAGTTAAGAAGACTCAGAAATTGAATGATTTCAACGTGTCTTTGTTTTTTATTTTTATCCTCCTTTGTTCAGTGTAAAAAAATTATAAAACTCTGAAAGAAATAAGAATACACTAAAACAAAGAAGAAGAAGACACTGTTTTGTATCTTTCTGGTTTGTCTGTCTCTTTGCCTGTCTGTCCTTTCATTTTTTCTTTTCTTCGCTCATCTTATTTCTTCTTCTACTTCCCATGTTTGCATTCTTAGTTAATAGTTCTGTGACAATATATATATGTATACATATATACATCAGATATTTGACGATATATGCATCAGATAATTACATCTATATATCAAGCGCTAATCAAAGAAAAAGGTAACTCGATGGTGTCATGCCTCCCGTTCACATATCTATCTATCTATCTATCTATCTACCTATCTATCTATCTATCTATCTATCTATCTATCTATCTATCTATCAGATTCTATCTATCTATCTATCTATCTATCTATATTTGTTTATTTACAAAACAGTTTGTCACAGCCGCTCGTTTGTTGTCCTCTTCTCCCTCTCTGCCTACGGTTCACTGGGCAGCTCTGCTCTGTTCGACGATATATATATATCGTCAAATAGAACTGCCCGGTAAACCGTAGGCAGAGAGGGAGAAGAGGACAACAAACGAGGGGCTGTGACAAACTGTTTCGTC